TGCTTCTATGTGAAGGTGGAGAGACTTGGTACATCACGAAAAGCATTTCCTTCAAACTGCAGACATTCATCAACAGCTGCCGCCTACACTCACTCCATACTGAATGTCGTTCGATGTCCAGAATAATAAGGATAAGCAATAGGGAACTCACTGTGACAACGAACCAACCGAGAAACCATCTCCCTACAAATATGCAGAAGAAAGTGTAGATGGATTGGATTGTGCATACACTGAGTCAGCCGATCGGGGATATCACGTGCCAGGCGAGGCAGTCGATTGGAATGCAAAGAGGAAACGGCTTGTTGGGCGTCCTGGGCTGGGGTGACATGGAGGAGATGGTGTGAGGAAGAAATGAAAGCTTGTTGGCAGTTGTGGAGCCAGTTTGAAAAGCCTACAGAGAAGAGAGTGAAATGGTGACGTGGTAATGAATCCGTAATGAATCTCTAGGCCTTAAAGTTATCTTAAGTTCAAACTCGTTGGGAATGATGCACATAGAGTCTGTTGCTCATTTCATACGCAGCACACTATGCAACATTTCAATTCCTGCCTCACTATTTCATTTTGAACTCTCAACCTATCTTATACATATCTTTATTCTTGTGTGTTCCGGAACAAATTTTCAAAAGATATTAGTGTCCGGAAGTTTTGAGTTTGTGTTTTTCACCTAGCTGTTTAAATTAGGATTTCATTACTGTCGTCTCTGACTAATCCCAGGGTTGCGCTATACTTTCTAAACAAGAAATCATTGTATTTGAATAAATATCTACAAAATTGGTTGAGCTATTTGAAATGATTTCTGTTCTTTTGACGAAACAGTTACGAAATCCATCTCACAGTCCAACTTATTAACAGTACAATTCAGAGAGGTTGATGTGATGTGTCGAACTATTTAGCCTGCTCATCATTTGACATGCATCACTGTTTTTATTACTCATAACTATACACAGGAGAATAGTTAATAACAATAGGTGGTGTCACTAGAACACACAATATGATCATGAGGGAACTCAACACGTGTGTGGTTTGGCAGAGTGAAATCCCAAAACAAAATATCTTGGTAGTGTTCACAATAAGGAAAGCTTTCAGGCTAGTAGATTTACTCGAACAGAAATCTCAGTAACTTCAACATTCTTGTATTCCAATTATACACGTCAAACAAACGTAACCAATATTATGCAATCAATGTAGAGTCAAGTACACAAATCAAACCAGCTGACGTAGATAGGTATAAATTGCCACATTCAAACAAAATGGACAGTCAGGATGAGAATCTAACAGTTCCCATGCCTCATTGGTAAGCAGCCGGTTGGCACACTCACGCAGTGATGTTAATCGAAGTACTTTGATGAACGGCACAACAGGTCAGAGAACCTCATCGAACCGAATCAATCTTCTACAAGAACAACACAACGGTGTACAACTGACTGACAATCACAATCTCTCTACAACCAATTAGGCTATGCAGCAGAGGAAAGGAGACAGATAATGGAACCAGTGGTTGTCTATATCTACGTGATAGCAGACATTGAATCGACTCAAAAACGATATCGAAGACACATAAACTGCATCATTGTGTGTGTCTAAGGCGAACACAGTACAGTACTATTATGGCATAGCTTTCTACCACGTTGACCAAATTTCATCCTCGATTACTGACCGTCAGCCTCTTCTTCAATACTGTGGTAAGAGCTGCCACATAACTTAAGTTGGTATGAGGTGGTGTCGAATGCGTAGGTATACTGTGATGTCCCAGTTTTCTATCTGAACATTTACAACTTGTCATTTTCAAACTATTCTTTACTGTATGACTAGTAGTTTATTTTCTGTCCCCATTGTAATGTAAATCACTACTGATTGGTTATTCTTTACTCCTACCATGCCAATGTCTGGAATTGGGGACAAGGTCATATTTTTCATGTTTGTGCATATTCACGTATTATTAGATTGATTGACTGATTGACTGATTGATTGATTATTGTAGTTTCGGAGAAATAAAGTCTCCCATCATCGGTCTTCTCTGTATTCGTCCTGGGGTTGCAGTCAGTGGCTGTTGCGTAGTAAGTTGGTTGTCAGTTAGGCGTGTGTATTATATTTGTTCGGAATATAACTGTTGGCGTACGAAAATATAGCATATTCTTCAACTCTTTATCGTAGAAAGATGCTAATTATCACCCACGTCACAACCAATAGAGTTTTGTTTTGGTGTGTTTTCTAACTGACCAATTTCGTTTTCTTATTTGTATGTGAAAGTGTGAACGAAGATGTGAGTTTTGGTGAGTTGTCCATTACTATTGTGAACCGATTGTTAATTAGTGGGATTACTTTACGAGCACATTTCCATTGAAATCTACCTATTTTACTTGAATTATCCTACATACATGACCATTTCAATGAAGCGGAGCCTTCCGTAACATAAGAAAAGCATATGACGATATTCGCGTATCAACCTGGAGCTTAATTGCTACATACGAATTGGCAATGGGACATTGTTTCAGGCGTTAAGCAGTGAACGATAAGTTATCATCAAAGACATTAATTATCATTGCACAGAGAAGACTATACTGAATGAGATGGGTGATACTCGATGGAGGAATAACACTATGAACACTCCCTGTTCATGTCCAATCTCATCATCTTCCAACAACTTTCATTGAAGAGCTCTCACCCTCACCTCTGCTGCAGCAAGTCAAACTACATGGCGATGAGTGGATGACTTTCGATTTTACAAAGGCTTCAGATAGTTCGTTTTTCGTGAATTCATCGTTGCTGAGTATTAGTAATGGCTTTATCGATAGAGGAATTGCTCAGAACTTCTCTTCTATAATGATAACCCTTGAAAAGTTGAATTTTGGTTGAATATGAGTTTGAGTGTCTCTCGCAAACCTAGAGAAAGGCATGGCATGAGTAGTTATTCTCTCAAAAGTCAACAGGGTAGCGCCAACATGAGTTTTGTCACTATTGCATGAGTGTACGAGTTGCCGAATCTCATATCAGCACACCAAGCGATGAAGAACCAAGATGAAAGACATAGAAATAAAGTAGAAGTTGCAAAAAAGGAAGAAGAACTAGCAAAACATCATGAAAATTGGTATTACGTTTAGAATGTTCATAGCATATAAATGCATCTGTACTACTAAGATAGTTTGCTAAGCATTTTAAAAGATCGATTTACGTGCGTATGTAGGTGTGCCCTAACCAGAGCATGAACAATATTCAAACCTATGCTCCAGAAATGGGTGAGATCCTCGACTGTAACCTCCAGTAATAACTAATAGGAATAGAATCAATCTTTGTCTACTATCGATTTGAGACTGGTGGAAGCCATGTTAGCCATCGTCTATCTTGATGTCTGAATTACAAGTTGTTCAGAAATAGGTGGTTTTCTGAGGACAGACGTAGTAGTCGAGCACTGTTTTCCATTCATTTGACTCGGATTCCGAAACTGACGCCAAACTGCCTTTCCGTTTGAATTAGCCTAGTCATTTGTGCACGGAAGTGACCTGCTACGAAAACCACATGTGGAGGTTATGCTTTCTGAAAGAAGCTAGATAACGCTCAGTAGAACTCATTTTTTCCTTCATCTCAACTGCAACCAGTTTGTACATCAGAGAGAGAGAGGGAGAGAGAGAGAACGATGGATTTCAACACACTTTTCAGTCCTCACTGAATCATTCGGTCAAACAGTGTACGGACGATTGTTAACTGAGATCCAGTTAAGCAGTTTGCTTTCCATGCTAGAACTTTGTGAAATAGATGGCAGTTAGGAACTGCTTTCAATCCAGAAAAAAATGTAATGGGAACACAGTCTGACGACCCAGTAGTATGACGTCCAGATCCAGATATCCATGGTAGAGTAGCAGACTATACTATCACGGCAGCTGCTTTTGGTGTCATCATTATCCAACAAACCTGTCTCGATGGAATTCACCTTCGTCAGTATTTTGGAACGTTAATCATAAACCCTTACATGATGCAACTGTAGCAAAGTGATAGGGTCTACAAAAGACAGAAGTCATATCTCGGAATTTGTGCTCTTCTCAGCAATCATATTTGGGCTGATCATTAACATTTTTTTGTATGTGAGTTCCCCTTCGAGATTAGGATTGACAATAAGGATGGAATAATCCGATGCCGATAAATAGCTTTGGAATTCGCTGATTGTAAATTATCACCTCGTTGTATCAAGCAACACCGATTTCAGAATTAACTGACTGTATAGGATAACAGGTTGATGTTGATTCAGTGATACACGACGCAGTTTTGATGACTCACGACCAAATAGGTACTGCTATTTACTTTCAGTTACAGATTCTGTATTACCTACTGCTCTTTCATTATCAAGAACTTTGTGAGAATGACTGTAAGCTCTGTGTAAGTAAGTATAAGGTTATCCAGCAACATACTTATAACTAGTCAACCCTAGGAGAACAGTTTGTGCTAGTACAGGATAACTACAAATCAGGCTCGATTGTAAGTCGACTGGTGAGGTTTTTTCATCTCTTAACTATCTATCATCTAACCACATATTTGAAGAGGGGAAGATATTCAACTGACAAGAGTGTCTTTCCAATAGGGCAGATGTGTACAACACATGTGAGAAGAGAAAGGGATTACCAGTGGTCACTACAAGAAGTATATATCAATAAGGCAGTGTATTCTGAAGTATTAGAAGAACACATGTCAGTATTCTTGCTTTTTAGCGAATTTTTGTGACTTTATTATGCAAACGCTAGTGCAGAAGTGTTGTAGACGATCAACGGTCAATGGTGAATGACCATCACACAAATCGTTTACCAACATGGAGAAAAGTGTCAACAGAATACAACAATAATTTAATTTATTTAACACGTAGCTTGTAGTTGTATACACCAAATAGAAATTGCCGGCAGTTTCGATTACTCATCCATATGGTAGATGTATGCTGAAAGTAGCTAAACTCATTACACATCCAACTGTATGGACCACCAGGATGTCACATCCAATAATTCGACCTATACAAGATGGTTAAGAGCTTATCTACTTATTACCATTTGTCTGAATTCTCATCTATTTTAGATTCTACTACAACAATAACAACTTCAAGTGAGTTCAATTTGTTATACTCTTCTGGGATTTTACTGATTTCTGAAACGATATCAATTATCGATCGCTTAATGAAGTCAGTAAACATATCGATGACCATCGATATTCCCATTTTTCCCCTTGAGGTTAATGAGGAATTTCTTGTTCGCAGCTACTTCAGAAAAAACTGTGATCAGTGAATCTAATTAGCTTTTCTACCAGGTAACCCTTCACAGTGCTGATAGATCAGGTTACAATAATAAAATTGATGCATTTGTGTTGCATCAAATCTGAAAAGTTTGTTAACTAGTTCACTAGTTACTAGCCCGTCCTAAGCCAGGATAAAGAGGGAAGGTTCGGCATAGGGCTAGCAAATCTACTCCATGAAATCATTCTAACTGCTGAAGAAACTTCAAAGCACAAAAAAAGTATAAAACATAAAAACAAACTTATTCCTTGCTCCAATCGGGGAAACTAAATGACACCACTTGGTGAAAGCATTCAGCAAGCCAATCAGCCGATATGTCTTCGATTCTCTCGATGAAAGTGAAAGTAAACATGAGAACATGGAATGTCCGCACCGTGTTTAAACCTAGCTGACAAGGCTGCTCAGATTGCAAACCAGATGAGAGGGTATAGCACAGAAGTGCTTAGAATCTGCGACAAATCTGTTGATGGAATGCAAGTGGACTATCCAGACGCCCAGCTGAAGAGGAGTCATTAATCTACTCCAATATTGTCAACCACATGACAACCACCAACACAGCGCACTGAATTTTCCAGTGGCTATCATGATGTCCCCAACACCATCGAAGCCTCTCATTCTCATCCAGTGGGAACCAATCTCCTCCTCCAGGATCACCATCATCACAACAAGATTCAACTGAAAACGGAGGAAAGTCACAATCACACATAGTCAATACTAGGCATCTACAAATGATGCAGCACAAGGATATTCACAAGGCAGCAACATCGATTTGATTTCACCAGACATCAGACACCAGGATACACTACACTACACTACAAATCAGATCAGATCAGATCGGATGATATCGACTTCATGTGAATGTGAATGAAGTGGAGATGGACGGAGACACAGTCAGCCTACTGGACACGAGATGGAATGAAGAAGGGGAGCAAATGTAGGTTCACACCAGTCAGTGTCTACTGCAAGCAAACTAACTTCAAAAATCAAGTTGAAAGCCTTCACAGAAGTTGGTGATGACAGAAGACAGTTGAAGTTGAACACCCAGAACAGAAAGTGAAGGACGAAACTACAAAGAAATCTTCACGTGAATCAGCGATCAGCACGAAATGTGAGAAATTGATTGAGCAAGATTCCTGTAGAAACCTGGTTGGTAGAACACTGGAACTGTTTGAAGATGTAGAAGTAAACCTGTATGACCATGTTCGTAGGGAAGATGAGGCGGCAAGACAAGGAATGGATGTCGATGGAGACTTGGAAGGTGATAGAGGAGGGAGAGGAAGGTGTAGATGGTGAAGCAGAAGATGAGCCATTTCAGTGCAGTGCAGTGCATTGAGGGGATGAAGAACGAAGAGAGGAGCTGAACGCAACTCTTAAAACACTACACTGGACAAAGAAGTGAATAAGAGTGCTTGTAAAGACAACAGACACTTCTACGACTCACTGGTAAGTGTAGTGGAACATCCTGTTGATGGTAAAGACGCAGAACTTACAATATTATATCAGATAATGAGGTTACCATATGGGAGTGAAGAGATAAAGGAAGGCCAAAGCAGTGAAATATAGTGAAGGGAACTTAGTTACTGCCAAAGAGGATAAAGAAAGAAACAATGGGTTGACAACTTCAAAAAACTCTTGGATCGACAACCACCTACACTTCCTTCAAATGTACCATCTGCAGCCACAGAATTACTTGTGAACAGAAGCTCTGAAAACAGACACAAGGGCACCAGTGGACACACCCATCCCACTAATGCAGAAAGTCTGGAAGGATAGCTGAGGTTACAATGATAAAATTGTTGCATTTCTATTGCATCAAATATGAAAACCTAGTGATTTATTGTAGATACAACTGAAGAATTTACAAAGTGAAATGTTTTGTCCGTACAGCTTAATGTATGTGATGATGGAAGAAATCTGACACTGCGAAAAAGTTTCGCCCTACAAAGAACAAAATAGACAAGGAGAATTAGTTGTATTGATTTGAGCAATGAGATGAAGAGAAAATGTGAACTCGTGTACTAATGTCTATGGAATAAACTGTCGCATTCCAATCGAAACGCAGACTATAGGATATCCCATTTGGGATTAACAAACACATGTTCGTTCAATTAATTTGGGAAACCAGATGGGAATGTGAATATTTAGCTGACTTATCAAAACTAGGAGGTGGAATGCAAAATGGCAAAACTTCCACTTACCTCTTACCCATCAACATTTGTTATGAAACTCCTAAGAAAAAAATGATAAGAAAGGTAATCAAAATTTGATTTGCTACTTCAAATCAACATGATTAGTATGAGATATGTATTGCGTTCCAATTCATGAAATGTGTGTGAGAACCTCTCTGTAGAATTGACATTCACGTTGGCATTGAAATAATATTCAGGTCCAGAAATCAACTCACAGTGAAAGTAAGTCAACCTAAGTATTCCATTTTATGAAATAAGACACACTAACCTAGTCTGAAACCTCTCCTGGTTAACTAGTTTACTAGTTACTAGCCGGTCCTAAGCAAGGGTAAAGAGGGAAGGTTGGGCATAGGGCTAGCAACCCTACCCAGTAAAACAAATCTAACCGCTAAACAAACTTCAAAGCACAAGCAAAATATAAAAAATGAAAACAAAATTATTCCTCGCTGGAATCAGAGAGGCGAAATGACGCCAGTTGGTGAAAGCCTGCCCTCGGAAAGCCAATTAGCTGGGCCGATGTGTCTTTTCTCCCTCGATGAAAGCGAAAGTAAACGTGGGGACATGGAATGTCCATACGATGTTTGAACCCAGTAAGGCAGCCCAGATTGCAAAGGAGATGAGAAGGTATCACATCGAAGTGCTTGGGATTTGCGAAAGCAGATGGAATGGGAGTGGACTCTCCAAACTGTCAACTGGAGAATCAATAATCTACTCCGATATTGTCACCCAGACGACAACCACGAGCACACTGAGGAAGTGGCTATCATGAAGTCCTCAAGAGCATCGAGGGCTCTCATGCAGTGGGAACCAATCTCCTCCAGGATCATGACAGCAAGATTCAACTCAAAAGGAAGGAAGGAAGGTCACAATCATACAATGCTACGCTATGCATCTACAAATAATGCAGAACAAGAGAAGAAGGAGGATTTCTACAGACAACTTCAATCAACACTGGACAAGACGTCAGTTGGCGATATCAAAATTCTAATGGGTGGGGCGACATGAATGCCGAACTGGGAAGGGACAACACAGGAAGAGAACTAACCATGGGTCGAGAGGCGCTAGGTGAAATGAATGAGAATGGAGAATTGTTTGCAGAATTCTGCGCATTCAACGATTTGGTGATTGGAGTCAGGCAGTGTGTTCAGGCACAAAGATATCCACAAAGTGACATGGATTTCACCAGATGGACACACTAAAAATCAAATCGACTTTATCTCAATCTCAAGAAAATGGAGACGCAGTCTACTTAACACAAGGTCAAGAAGAGGAGCAGATGTAGGTTCAGACCACTATCTAGTGCAAGGAACCTAACTTCCAAATCAAGTTAAAAGCCCTCAAGGAAGCTTGTGATAGACCACAGTTCAAGTACAACACCCAGAACAGAAACTGAAGGATGAAACTACAAAGGAAATCTTCACGGCAGCCAGCCATCAAGACAAAATGCGAGATACTGTGGAACATCCCTGAAGAAACCTGTGTGGAAGAACACTGGAAGTCTTTGAAAGCTATGTGGAAAGAAACCTGCACAACAGTATTAGGAAGGAAGAAGGTGGAAGACAAGGAATGGATCTTGATGGATACCTGGAAGCTGATAGAGGAGAGGAGGATGGTGAAACAGAAGATAAACCAGTGCAGGCAGGGATGCTCAACGACAAGAGGAACTGAGTACAATGTATAAAACACTACACTGGACAAGGAAGTGGAGAAGAGTGCACGCAAAGACAAAAGACACTTCCACAACACACTGGCAATTGAAGCAGAACAGAACAGGCTGCAGGTAAGAGAGACAGGGAACTGAAAACATTGTATCAAATAACCAGGTTGCTATCTGGGAAGAGACCAACACAGATGAAACCAATAAAAGATGATGAAGGGAATTTAATTACGAAAGAAGAGAAAGAGAGGAAACAATGGGCCGACCACTTCAAAAAGCTCTTGAATCGACCACCACCTGCACTTCCTCCACAAATACCACCTGCAGCCGCTGAATTACAAGTGAACATAAATCCCCCAACGAAAATGGAAGTCCTGAACGCCACGCCATAAAGCTACTGAAATGTGGGAAAGCAGCACGCCTAGATGGGATCCCGCCAGAAGCACTGAGAACAGATGCAGAGACAACAGCGGATATGCTCACACCATAATTGCAGAAGGTGTGGAAGGAAGAGAAGGTACCTGCCTATTGATTGGAAGAAGGGTTAACTTGTCAAACTGCCGAAGAAAGGAGACCTGAGTGTTTGCAAGAACTGGCGAGAAATCACTCTCCTGTCCACCCAGAGCAAGCAAAATATTAAGCTGCATCATCCTGGAGAGAAGAGACTAAAGGATGCACTGGATTCAAAACTACGACCGGATTAGTCTGGCTGGCTGGCTGGTTTCAGGAAGTACAAATCATGTGCCGACCAAATTGCAACGCTACACTACGCATCATCATAGAACAGAGCATGGAATGGCAATCAGCTCTCTGCCTCAACTTCATCGACTTTGAGAAGGCCTTTGACAGCGTCGACCGAGAAGTAATTTGGAAACTGCTTCACTACTACGGAGTACCGCAAACCTTTATCCGCCTCATTCAACAAGTATATGAAGATGTCACATGCCAAGTAATTCACAATGGGAAG